AGTTGCGAGTCTGTAGATACAGAGCGACAGAGACAGGCATAATTTATTTACCTGTTAGCTCCTCAACCACAAAAGAGGTATCGAGATCGAAGGTTTTACTTCTGCTTCCGTAATCATGTCAATGGAAACTGGTTCACTGAATAAATAAAAACTCTCTAAAAGAATAATGTGAATCAGTAATAATATTGAATAAAAGCAATGTTGAGTAGATCCTCTAGGCAGAACCAAACCTGGGTTTTTGTTTCGCGTTGTCTATCTGAATCAGGGAAGCGATCCAGCCGTGTAATTCAAACCGGAGTCGGACCCGGCCAAGGCTTCTCAGCTAATCTCTAATCATATATATATATATATATATATATATAAAATCTTGTCACATTCCGATTAATCACCGCCCGGTTTCCAACACGGATTTGAAAACAGTTCGGTATTTGGGGTCTGTCCTGTGGGGGTCAAGTAGTTACGGCTATCACCATCCACGGCTATTCAAACCCAAGTACAAGGGGTTATTGTTCCAATGGGTTCACCATTTCAGCGGATAATATAATATTAGAAGCAAAACTTCCGCTGCGTTCACTGGTGATATCATCATGAAGATTCAATTTGTTCTCAGCTACTGTTTCCGTTCATTGCCTCGAATAATTTACCCGCGCTCTACCCAAACTCATATTATTATGAATACCAAGGTAAAATAATCTTTAATACAACGAAATCAGTCCTCTACTTGCTAGTGGACAGAATACTATTAGGTTACTCAGTCAAGGTACCTGAATTTTCTCGGGTGAATTACATCCCGAGCCTCGGGAAGCTATAGCTTGGCTCGTAAGTCAGCGGGGCGATGTGATAGCCACAATTCATTGTGGATGGATCTGTCTCGAAATTCGATAGGCGGATTTCAGTTAAGTAATTGCTTTAATACACCGACAGGTACACATTCAGAGACTGCCACTAGACCAGTCTATCGCATTCCCTTCCCACGAATGAACTTTGAAACGTGTCGTCAAGGTTTATGGCATACCCCTTAGGGGAAGCACCTCTTACTCGGAAGGCTGTCGGCCCCTTTGGTCCATCCTCCGTTCTTTAGTTTCCCCCAGGCGCTTAGCTCTCACTTGTGGCTCCAAGAAGCTCTCGGGTCGCGATAGCAGCCACACCCCGGTGAACCGCTCGATGAGCGGTTTAAACCAGATTGAGGGTAACCGGGAGTTCAACTCCCGTCAAGTCGGTGTCTAACATACGCGTTGGGCGTACGGAGTCGGTTACACGACTCAACGATCAGGGCAATGACTCCGTATTTATCAGGGATTCATGGACCCTTTTTCAGCTAAAACCTGTCGGTGGCGCATGAGCCCTTTCCCAGAGGGTCACCGGCAACCATGTGCTACCGTCCTTCTATCTTCTAGTTAGCACCTAGATGTGCAAGGGTTAGAGATGCCAATTTTTCATGCTGGGGACGTTTCCTATATCTAACTCCCGAGAAACTTCGTGGATATTCAATTAACTTGTCTCACTAATCAATCTCTCCGGTATTTTCATTGGGCGACGCGCCCTGTGCTCCTAAAGTGGCTCGGATGACAAGTATGCGCACAGGACACCTACGGAAAACTTACATTAGATGCGGGAACAAAGGAATACTCGTATATGTCGGGATTCAGGCGTTAACGATACGTGCGCTGCATGGCTATCAGCTGGATATTACATGTCCATCTGAAGTTAAATTAGCGGACTCCGCTCCTAAAAGTATCAAAATCCCTGGTATCGATTGTCTACACTTGCTTTATCACAGCGGTAATGAAACGTCTCAAGTCTAACCTCCTTATGTGCCCTACTGGCTATGGTTGCTATACGAAGCTAGCTGCGTTTCAACGTCAATAGAATAATTGTCTGATGTTATCAACTATCTCAAGCCGCAGAAATTTCCCGGCCGGCCGGGATACCCCCGGGAAATCTACGCTTTATTCACCATCCATTTAAAACCCCCTCTTGAGTTTACTGTGTGGAATCTGCAGATTTAAATTTGCCTAACTGACTGGTTCACATCGATTTTGCTAATTTTCCCTAAAAGGGAGGACAAATTAGTTTGCGAAAACTACAGAGGCATTAGTTTACTTGGTGTGATGGTCAAAGGTTTTACACGACTTTTGCTGAACCGCTTTGATGAAACAAGGCACGCACTGGTCATAACCAAGAAATATTCCGTCCCTTTGTGGACTCTGCCGACCAAATATTCGCTTTACGTCGACTCTTGGAACATCGCCACAAGTTTCAACAACCCAAGGTGGTCTGCATTGTAGATTTCCTCGCGGCAATCGATTCCGTAGATCGCGAATCCCTTTGGAACACAGTTCGGACCGATAGTATCGCAGCTAGACTTGTCAACCTCATGAAATCTTACTATTCCAACATTAGTGCGCGAATCCGCATCTGCGGCAAGGAGTCATGCGCGTTCTACTTGGGATCTGGAGTGTGACAGGTGCCCATTATTCTCGATGCTGCACAACATTGTCGTTGACTGGACAGTGGGTCGCTCAATGGAAGGATACTAGAGAGTTTAGATCTCTCCGAACTTAGGGTTCACCGAATTGACTGACGTTGTTGTCTTTATTGAGGACATGTCCAAGCTCCAATTGGTCGTCGACTGCATCAGTCGACAGGCTTATGAGATCGGCGTAGAGGTGAGCACTTTAAGATCCACAACTTTCGCCACAGTCCCAGTTCATTTCAAAGATGCTTCACTACTAAGTGGCGAACCGATTGCTGGGATACTACAGTTTGTTGGCGATGACTGAGCCCCATTTGGCACAAATCTTTGCAGTAGAACTCCTCGATACTCTATACTCATGGATTAGCATACCGGCTGACGGAATTTTTCGGGAACGGTGTAGTTGACATGGTCTGTTATTTTGAGTTTCCCGGTAGGATTGATGAGACCATTCCTCTGCACAAAATTTTTGATGGATAGCCTTGATGAATGTTGTGTTGAGAAGTGCTCCGTTCGCTGTTTTTCGTTCACTTGTCCTCTTAGATGTAGTCTTCATTGGTTGTTTGGGGGAATCATCAGTCCAAAAACGAACACATACTGAAATGCCTCGTTCCCTTTTTGTGTGAGCCATAATAAACTAAGTGGATATGTACCGGGCGTAATTCAGTTGTACATCGACGTATTGGTGATCCGTGACACACAGCAGTTCTCGTTTGTTTTGTCGTGAGAATATAATGGTAGTGAACTGGTTGAATGTTCCATGCGCGTCTGTGGACAGCCAGGTTTAGGTCATCAACATGGTGACCCGGAAGTCTAGTGTTCAAATCCCGCAAGCAGCGACCAAATTTCTTATCTCATCCATTCATTGGATCAACCTTGTAGTATTTACTTGTCTCCTCCTGAGGTCGGGCTGTACAGGTGACTGTTCAGTGAAATGAAGAGAAATATATTTACAAAAAACAAGGTGTAATTTTTGTTGTTCGTTTTTTACGGACGAATCCAACTAGAACTAGATAACTTCTGGTTCTCAACCGCGAGTACCAGGAAGCAACAAACGTAATAGATTATAAATAACTCGAACATGTCGGATGCGTGTGTCTCATTATTTTACTTCAGTCCGCGACGAAACAAACGTAAGGGTGATTGCACAACGTGATCACTGATGTGCGATATTGTGTTTCACTGTGTCGTCTGTAAGAGAGCAGTCTGGCACGTGTTTTCACATGACACCAATTTGAATAGGCTTGAGTGCGAAGTTGTCTCATGTGCGATCACAATTGACTGGTTCTGTAAACTCTAGTTTGGTTTATGGGTCCTGTTGATACCGAATCGCTGTTAGTGTCTAAACCTCATAAATGCTTCACTTCAGGGAGGTACCAGGTGACTGAATGCCCATCCGATCGGTTAACTACATTCAAATCATGGACCGTATGGTGTGTTACAATTTATATGAAGTTGAAGTTCTATGGTACAAATCCTAAGTGTTCTATAGATGTGGAATACATACGCGTCATGCTCAATTTTACCATCAAACGTGGAGAGATTGCATGAGCCAATCAGTTCACGTGGTTTTGACCAAGCTACGTTTGCAACTTCTCTTACAGATTGTAATTTGTATTCATATTTGTAGTTGAGCTTTAGAGGGTTATTCGTGTGCTTCCAGTCACAAAGCAACCATCTTTGCAATGTCGGCCTAAAATAAAAGCATAGCGAGGAAATACACTCATAATGCAGAATGATTTACTTTCTGTTTTCATTATCATCAACTTTGTGCCGAAAATCCACATGTAAGTCTGTCGGCTATCGGCTAGGAAAAATCCATTTGAGGAAGTATGTACGGAACCGACCGATCGGTTTGTCGCTGCCAGTACCTTCCGATATCTGTCTTAGACCATAGCAAACGGTTTTGGTAAATTACCTCCTTGTCAGGCCTTCCAATGGTTTTTCCTCGGTTTCTTCAAAAGAGGTTGCGTAATTTTACGCGGTTGTTTGGAACGTGCGATTGGCTTGTCCTTTATTTTGATTGATTGGAAATGACCATCCTTCAGATTTTCCTTTCGCGCACATTCCTCAGTTGTTTCAGTCAACCATACATTCGGAAGCACTAAACTCAAGTTACGCTCTAATTGGAGCCTGTTAACACTGCATATCCACCTTCCCGTCGGGGTTTTGAACTCTGGGCGTGCGTGTTACGACTGCCAACCAACTCGTGCCAATGCTGAGCCGAATTGCCTATTCATGTTTGTTCAGTTGTCGTCTTCAGAGATAGACAGTTGATTGCCTGTTAACTCTAATCGAAAGCCTCTCACCAAGTCAGGTCTCCCAGGCAGGTTACGGGCTAACTGGCCACAAACATACTAGGCTGGGTTAATAATTCGCATATAACTTTATTTCCCATTGTTACATGTCTCATCCTCCCGATGCGAGAAATTTTCTAAACTGCTTCTTTCAAACTTTAATCAGCCACGAAACATGCAACTGTCGTATCACCGTTTTCATCTCTCCTTACTGAGCAAATGTTGAAAAGTTGCACATACACATCCGTAGTAAAGCCTGGCCTATTTCTCATTGCGCTTCCATCCTCGCAGACACAAAGCGGAGGAAGAGGAAATAGTGTGGCCGGTGCATTTCATTCCAATCTTGGTTCAGAACTGAGCTATTTTCAATCACGGCCATCTATTATACCCAATGCGACAGATGGCGATCACACTTTAAACTGAAACGCCAAGAGCTATGCTCGCAGCAGTCAACGACAAACGCGATAGTAAAAAGTGACAATCCGCATCCGAGTCCGAAACTTAATCCAATGAGAGGTTCACAAAGAAGGGCTAGTGAAGCCTCCCTACTACCATCGACGGGTTATCAGAATGAGAAGATATAAAACCCCAACATTTTTGTGGGGTTCCTGCACATGTGCATCAAACTGACGGAATTGACCGTTGTGGTTTTCGTTTGCCTTCCCCCCCCCCCCTCCTCCTGCCCAATGTGATCCGAAAGCAACCAGACAGCCCCGAGCAGATGTGCAGAATGAGCGCCTGCCCTGTGCGCTTCTGTATTTGTCGCGCGGGCTAGAACTGTGGTATGGGTGGGTCCAAAGGGCTGACCGATTCCGACTGCGGAGCTTATGCCACCATTACAGACTATTAGGGGTAAACATGGAGATATACAGTACTGGCACACTTGAAAAAAGGTTGAATTGGCACATTTTTGTGTTTTTTGATACAGAAACAAAGTCCACATTGGTTCGCATGCAGTGACTTGGCAGTTGCACGTTTTTTCTGTCGGAAGTATGTACTGCTGAGTGCGAATCCAAGTAAAGTGCGAGCTTTTCCGGATGGTGGATGTATTTGTAAAACTGTGCTTGGTG